GCCTCAGGCCAGTCACAGGCCAGGTAATTGCTCTTTCACTGAGCTATATTCCCAACACTTTTCATTTTATTTTGAGTCAAGGTCTTGCTTATTTACTTATTGGACTCAAACTTTCAGTCTTCTTGCTCCTTTCTTCTGAGTAGCTGAGATTTACAGGCTTATAGCACTTTTCCAGGCTTATTCCTGTCTCTCTTTTTTTAATGGTTGCTTATTTATAATCATACATGTTCCCAAATTCTGTACTCAAATAAGTGAGATGAGTTGCCTCATTGCTTTCCCTCATCAGGAAGCACAATGAGAAGGGAGGAGCCTGGGAGGAAGATACTTCCTGCCAGGTCACCAGTAAATGATTTATCTCTTCTGCTCAGGCCCCACCCCCTAATAGCACACACAGCTGTGAATGTACTAATCAGTGGATTAATCTACTGATCAATATAACCCCTCCAGTGGACTCATCACTTTTCAAAAGCCCCACCTCCGAATACATGAAACATTGGGGGAAAATTGTAAATCTAAACCATCAAACCAATCATGATACCAGATTTTGCTCAGAGATGCTGTATTATGTACTAAACACTTATTAGAGCAAGTATGAATACATACAGAAGTGCTAGCAACATTGTCAGTGTTCTGCATATCTCAGTAAGTCTTCCAGTTAGAACAATTTTTATCTGAACTCCATAGCTCTCTCTTATTCATCTTGAACAGTCTTTTTTTTAATCTACTTACACTTTTTGGTAGGTTTGAATGGAGGTAGGGGTATATTTTCCTTTGTGTATTGCCACATGATGCTGTTTATTAGTTCTAGTCTTTGAGTAACTCTGAGCTTACATTTTGAACTGCACACTATTCATAAAGTCATGTATTTAGGAGCAAAATCTTTGTAAATAACAAACTTGCTGTTGTATGAACTAGAGAGGGTTGTGTGATACTTGGCATTGTTCTAGGATGTTTCTAGATGAACAGGTTAGGGTAGTTGTGATATTACAATAAGCAGTGTAGTTGTCCCTGGATGGATTTAGTTTCCAAAGTTTCCACTAACCACTAACTAAACATATAAAACAAGCATTGTGTCTGCACTTACTAGACAATTTTTTCATTTTTTGTTAGAATTTCCTAAACTATGCAGTATAGTTCCTTAGACAGCATTTACATTGTATTTGGTATCACCATAGTTATCACAGTTTCTCTTATATGAGGTACAAAAAACATAAACAAATAAATAAATGAGTTAAATAAAAGATTGTGGAAAACAAGAAAGCAGTAAACGATCAAAAGTGTTGAAGATATCATATGCAAGCATCATTTTCCCAAAAGAAACACAACTCTTATGCGTTGCAAATACACACTTAATAAATGAAACAGAATATAGATTTTTAAGATATTGTTCTTTTTTAACATCTTTAGCAGCTGTAGCTATGCAGAAGTATTCACATACAAAGGCGGAAGACTAGTGTGTAGAGCACATGAAAAGAATTTCAAGACTGAGATGTTCCTCTCAGAAGTGGTTAGAAGATGGAGCTCTGGAATAGGGTCTTCAGAATTCCTCTCGAGATTGTTGGATTGGTTATGATTTGTAATTTCTGTTTTTCATAGATCTTTTTGAGTATGTCGCTGTATTTTGAAACCATTGCACCTGTGTTTTCATGGTTTCAGTACTTAAGTATTCCACATTTTGGTTTTACGTTAAGTGTCCTTGTCCATATTGTGATTGACCTTGCAAGCCAGGATCAAATAAACTGGACTGTGACTCTCTCATTTAGCTGGCCATGAGTTGTAGTTATCCCCTTTCAGGAGCAACAGATGAGAATACACTATTAGCCTTGGTTGGCACAAGACAGGGAGCGATCTTGCTTTCCCAATCACTCCACTGTCTGAGGGACATTAAAGAGTTCAGAGAAATCTCATAGTAAATGGGAAATGATGACTAATTAATGGAAAACATATTGATGTGTTTCTGCATAATAAAGAGATAAACGAGAGGATAGGAGACTAGAATGTGAGATTTATATCAAAATGGATATTAACACAGAAACAAATACAATGCCATTGCAATATTGGCGTTATCAAGCAAATCTACTCCAAAAACTGACTTTATATGGTATACTAAATTAATATTTCCCATAAATGCAACGTTTTGATAAAAATAATGAAGCTAATTATAATCAGCAATAGTCATTAGGCAGCATTGTAGCATTTTATCTATAGTGTTTATGGGGCTAAAGAATTTGGGAGAAAAAGAAGGATGTATGGAGCAGTCTACCCAGGGAGCCAGGGATCTTCCTTCTTGGTCAGTTTGAAGCATCATTCCAAGCTTCTAAATTGCAGGAAAAGTAACTAGCTCTTTTGCTGTGACAAAGACTATGAATGTGAAACTTGGTATGATTTAGAAATAACAGAAATGACAGTAAACTATAAGATATAACTGATTATTTCTTGTAAATATTTTAAAATATAAAGTTACTCAGTTTGTCTATTCTCACCTGTGTTATAGGCTTTGCAACATAATGAATTTTGGGGGAAAAACTTCTGCCCAGAACTCAATACAACAGAACACAGTGGTTGTCCCAACTATATAATGTAAGTTCACATTCATTGTCAAAACAGATTTACTTTCTACTATGCTGCAAGAAAGAAGGGGCTATGGGCTTAGAGCTGTTGGGAGTCCTTTGAGTCAATCTTTCTGAGGCTATGTTTGTGACCTATAGAGTGAGTAATTGTGCACTGTTGCATGTGAAAGTGCTGTATTTCTATTCTATGATGGCCAAAAGAGTTTTCCACGTGAAGAAATGTTTATTATGTGCTTTTGAAAGTGTATATTTATGCATTGATTATGGGCTTGGGTTCTTATCATTTTTTTTCAAAATTTTATT